TGGTGGTGGTGGTGGTGGTGGTGGTGGTGGTGGTGGTGGTGGTGGGTGGTGGTGGTGGGTGGTGGTGGTGGTGGTGGTGGTGGTGGTGGTGGTGGTGGTGTGGTGGTGTGGTGGTGGTGGTGGTGCTGGTGCGGCTGGTGCTGGTGGTGGGTGGTGGTGGTGGTGGTGGTGGTGGTGGTGGTGGGTGGTGTGGTGGTGGTGGTGGTGGTGGTGGTGGTGGCGGTGCGGCGCGGTGGTGGCGGGCGGATGGGCGCGCGAGAAAAGGCCCGCGCTGGGGCGAGAACGCCATCCTGAACGACGGAGGCCAAACACCGATCCGAAAATGAGGCCCACGCTGCAGCGGGAGCACGATTCGGAACGATTCGGGAGCAGAAATGAGGCCGGCGCCTCAACGAGAGCAGCATTTTGGGAAAAAATGACGCCGGCGCCTCAGCGAGAGTCGTTTCCCGGGATTTCCCGGGAATCCTGTGTGTAAAAAAACGGTACGCGGAGGGTGCGCGGCCATCACCCGGACGCCATCAGGGGAAGAGGGAGAGTATTTTCATATTGAGTAATTGTGGAGGGGGGTCTGAGTCAGGGGCATTTCGCCAGCAGACTCGTGGAGGCTTTTAAACCAAAACTGCCTCGAGACCCGTAGGCTTATGTTGCTCCCATCGTACTCAAGGACCACATCCCAGAAACAACTTCGAGCACCCGGAAAGGTGTCGCAAGAGTGTCGAAAGAGTGTCGAAACAGTGTCGGACGAGTCTCCCAGGGCCCGACACGTGAAAACCCTCGGGTTTCGGTACTTTTGTTGGTGCTCGAAATGCTTCCTGGCGATCAGGGCTAAAATAGGATGGAGCATCATAACCGTAGGGCGGAATATACATTTTCCACGACGTCGGCTCTCAGAGGGGTAGCCAAGGGGGTCAACAAATCAGTGCGCGCAGCCGGTTTTCCCAGCGCAGCTCAACACCAGAGGCGCCCATGCATAGGGGGAAGCCAGCTGCATGCAACAGCTTTCGTGACGCCCCCTCTCCCTATCCCCTCCCTTCGTCCGACCTGGACGTGGGAGCGCGGGTGGGGCTCGATCGAGCCGGTGCGCAGGACGCCCGGGCGACGACGACTGACCACCTGACCGATCCTGGCCACCGATCCTGGCCGGCTCTGGATCGGAGACGAGGCAAGGACCGGAAGAAAATCGGGCAGGGACAAGTTCGGGATCTGTAAGATCTGGCGGCTCGGGAGGATTATATCGGGCGCCGCGGATGTTCAGGAGCGCTCAGGAACGCTCTGAGAGCGCTCCTGAACACTCTGGAACAAAAAAAATCCCAGTCCTGAGCGCGCACCCGATCTACTCCTCCTTCCTGGCCTGGCCGAGGAGGCGACTGCGTTGGTCCTGCCCCTGGGTGCAGAAGGCAGGCCCAGCCAGGACCGGTGCGGTGGTCGGTCTCGACGCCGCCCGGCCCTGACCTTCCAGAGAGCTATGTTTTAGCACTGGAGGCCTAACCCTAAAAAGCTCAGCGAAACAGCCTAAAACCAAGACGTAGAACAGCTTCGGGATAGGTTTCTACGTCGGGTGCTATTCTTTAGCCCTCCTGGAAGGTCGGGGGAGATGTGGAAGGTCACGATGCCGTACTCCGCCGAGAGCTGCTGAGCGATCACCTGCCGGTGGCAGTCCCGCCAGTCCGCCTCCGCGCACATGTACGCCGTGGCTCCCCGCTCCGCGTGCTGCGCCGCCGCCGTGGCCAGCTCGGCCAGGGCACGCTGGCCCTCGGGCTGCTGCAGCAGGTGGCAGATGCCGCCGACCTTGTTGCCGAGCTCTGGACAATGCTCAGGGGCAACGTTGGGGGGGGTGATGGGCTCAAGGGGGGGATGCATCGACCCCCAATTGCGAGGCGGGGACTTCTTCATAACCACCGCCATGGGGAACGGTCATTCTCTGTCCCTGTGCGCGTGGCTGAAGTGAGGTTCTGCGGTGTTGTCGATTATGATGTTGTGGTTGATGATGTTGCTGCTGCTGTTGCTCTTGTTCTTGTAGCTGTAGTTCTAGTTGTATTTGATTGCTTGTGTGTTTGCCTGTTTGTTGTTGTTGCTGGTGGTGTTGGTGATGGTGTTGGTAATGGTGTGGATGTTGGTGTTGTGGCCGCTTGATTCTCTACAAATATTGTTGATCCCCCTCGTCAGGGGCACATCGTGTGAAACACGATGTGCCCCTGACGAGGGGGATCTCTCTCTTCAATTGAAAAAAATTAGAACGGAAGAAAAATGAATTGAAATTGTTAGCACGGTGTTTCAATTTAAACAAAGAAATGGAAATGCCCTTCCTGGGGCTCGCACCCTGTCTCTTGCAAGGGAAAGCCAGGGAGAAACCAAACGCGACACCTGGCCCCCGAGTTACAACAACAACGGCTTCTTCTCCTCCTCCTCCTCCTCCTCCTCCTCCTCCTCCTCCTCCTCCCGCCTGATACTTCCTCACAATGTATTCCCAAATCGCGCCCTCGCGCGGGACGCCCTCACAAGTGTATACAGGAATCGAGCTCTCGCGTGGGACTTCCTCGCCACTTATTCAGAAGCCGCGCCCTCGACACCCAGGAGTCACGCTTGTGCTGTGAATTTCTTGGCGATTGATTTGAGAATCGCGCTATCGCTCGAGACTTCAGCGCGATTCACGTAAGACGCACGCTTCAGCAACCCGCCTGCACGACCTGGACGACTAGGCCCGCCTTCCCGACCCGCCCGTTAGGGTCCACCCGCCCGATCTGCCCGTCTGATTCTGCCACGTGCGTTTTGCTCCTAACCCCTCTCCTGCTACTCTCTCTCGTGCTCCATCCTCCTCCATCCCCTTTGTCCCTTCCTTCCATCCGTCCTCTCTTCCCCTGCCTTCGAGGCTGCACGAAATACACGTCGCAAATAAGAAAGATAGACACCCCCAAAGGGGTACGATCGAAGACGAACAGGGCGGGTATCGAGGGTTTGGGATATGCGTCTCCAACGGGCCGCGAGTAGATGAGCGAACAGGTTAAAATGTGTGTTGTTGGTGGAATTGTTGGTGTTGTTGTGGTTGTTGTTGTTGTTAGTGTTGTTGTTATTGTGGTTATTTGATAGTGTGGTTGTTGCTGTCGCTGCTGGTGTTGTTGGTGTTGTTGATGGTTTTGATGTTGTTGTCTGCTCTTTGTTGCGTTTGTTGCGTGTTGTTTGTTGTGTGGTGTGTTGTTTGTTGTTTGTTTACTGTTTGGTCTTTGTTGCGTGTTGTGTGTTGCTTGTTGTTTGTTGCTTGTTGTTGGTTGTCTATTGTTTGTTGCTGTCGTCCCCCCCGCGACCTGGCTCGCGAGCCACCCGCGACCCACTCGCGACCCACCCGCGACCCGGCCTGCGACCCACCCCGCGACCCACCCGCGACCCACCCCGCGACCCACCCCGCGACCCGCCCGCGACCCACCCGCGACGCACCCGCGACCCGCCCGCGACCCACCCGCGACCCGGCCCGCGACCGCGACCCAACCGCGACCCACCCGCGACCCACCCGCGACCAATCCCGCGACCCACCCACATTGCTTCAACAAAATAAGATCGGCGCCTGCGGCGAGCTCGTTGTGTAATTTGTAAAAATTAAGCGCCTGCGTCGGGCTGCTTCAGAGCCTCGCAGACTGCCGACGTCCCCGCCGTCCCCTCACTCTTATCCGCAACTGCGGGGTGCTACGTATTCGAGCCCTGCGGGGGGGGCAAATACATCCATATCATCGCCCGCCAGGGCCCCTAAAACTCGATCCCTCAAGCGGTGGATATTGGATGAATCTCCGCCTCAGAAAATCGCCCATTCGTCGCCGATAGAGGCGCGATAGCCCGCTCCGCCCAGAACCGTATGGATTCGCCATCGGGGGCCTATCGCCGATTTATCGGCGACGTATCGCCGATTCTGGGTCGATACTCCCTCACCCGTCTTCGACGACTGTGGTTTTCGGGTGATGCAGCGGGCCTCTGGCGGATTTTCGGGACGATCCGGGCATCTTCGAAAAGCTCTCGATGAGGCGCAGCTGCCGAAAAGTATCATCCCGAGGCGAGAAAACCTCGAGGAGCCAACGAAACTGTTCTCTTACTCTCCCACATCGACGACGGGAGCTCCGATTTCTGGTACAGTTAGCTCGTCCCCCCTAACGTTCCCCCTGAAATGCCTATAGCTCACGCTCCGAGCCTTGCATAGCGCCTCGAAGCTGCGCTTCTTGAAGTGCGGGAAGCGGCCACTGCTGGGGATACTGCGCACGTCCACCAGGTGGCCGATCCGGTGCCGTGAGAGCAGGGCGAAGAACGGGCCGGGCTCTAAGAAGAAGGAACAGGAACATTGAGACAGAATGTCGGAGCTCCGCGCGGATTGATTGGGTCGCCGATGGGCCCCCCACCCTGGCGCGCGGAGCACGCCGGGGGCGCCGCCGGAGCCGCCGCCCGGGGGGCCCAGCGCCGATCCGAGAAACCCGCGCGGAGCTCGGAAGCCCATGTCTCATGCAGCTCTTTCTCCTTCCAAACTCGTGGCTCGAATGCCCCACTGTGAAGATACGGGTTGCTGGCGGCGTCGGCGGACACGGTTCTCCGTCCGCGAGCATCCGCGCAAAGGCGAGACGCTGGGGCAGGCCGGCTGGAGCCCAGTAGGCTGCGGGCGACGGAGGCACTCGCTCGCGCTCGCGCAGACACGCACACTGCCTCGTGGATACACCGATCCGAACAGATGGGACACGGACGCCGTCACGGGAGCCGACTCAGTCACGGTGGCATACGCAATCACAGGCACAGACAAAGACGCGAGCAAAGGCACGGGCATGAAGAAAAAGACTCAAGCGCGCGCGCAGTGGAAAGGCAAGGCAGGGCAAAGCGCATGAGGATGGGTGGGCAAGCCAAGGGTATCAGGACAGTGGATTGCGGGAAAGAAGATCCACATAAGAAATGGCGACCTATGTAGTCCGGATGCAATCCATGACGAACGCAAGACATGTCAAGATCAATCTACAAGAAATTGAGCGCCGTACCGTCGCCAGCATGAACAGAACCGTTCCGGACGGGACCACCCCTTGCGTAAAGGCAGCAGGAGATGCAAAATAACGGAATGCAAACGACAGAAATAGAAACGAACATAACCACATATGCATATCCCTTCCGCGCACAACATACTCCCGACATCCTCTGCCCTCTGCCCGCGGTCACTATGATCTGATTGGTACCATCGGTAATTTGAGGGAACTTGTCTCTTGAACGCACGCCACCCTGTCCGCTGGCGCGCGAAGAAATGAGGCCAACAACTGCGCTTTCTGCACCGTTTCTGGCGAATCCCGCGCGCCCACCGGAAGAATCCCAAACCGGCGGTTTCGGTTTCGCTCGGGACATCCTCACTCATCCCCTTCCCAAGAAGGCTGTGAAGGGAGGGGGGGAGGGGGGAGGAGGGGGGCAGGAGGGGGGGAGATGGGAGGGGAGATGGGAGGGGAGGAGGAGGGGAGGGGAGGAGGGGAGGGGTGGATGGGAGGAGAGGAGGGAGGAGAGAGGGGGGGGGAGGGCAAGCCAGGTGCGATCGATGATTCCTCTGTCCGCCGACGGCTGCAAATGACCCCATCGTCATGTGCGCAAGCAGGAAGGGGGAGAGGTGGTGGAGGAGACGGCGGATGAGCAGGAGGACGAGCAGGATGACGAGGAGGACGAGAAAAGAGGAAGGAAGGAGAGGAAGAGCAATCGCAAGAGCAGGAGCAGGGGCAGGAAGAGCTGGTGGAGCTGGAGGACCCGAAGGCGGGAGAGGGGACAAGGGGGGTTGACAACGACGAGGAAGGACCCCGATCCAGGAATCGGGCCCGCGCTCGAACGAGAGTACTCCAGATTTCGTAATAAAAGGGAGGGGGGTCTCATTTCGGGGGGGGGGTCTGTTCCAGGCTATCTTGGAGTGCCTGGGGGGGTCTGGGGACGATGTTTTGGAGGGTTCTCCCACGGGGGAGGTCTGAAATGACTTGTGTTGCTTGGTCCAGACCCCCTCCCTTTTATTACGAAATCTGGAGTACCATTCTGAACGACGGGAGCTAAGCGCCGCTCCTGAAATGAGGCCACCGCCACAGCCGGAGCAGCACTTGGAAACACTGCAGCACTGCTACGGGGACGAACAAGGACAGATCGCAACTTTGGGATTGCGTGTGCCAAGCAATAGTTTCCGGACGGAGTCGGGGGAGAAAGGAGAGTAGTATTCAGATAGAGTACTTGTGCAGGTGAGGGGGGTAGAGGGGGGAAGGAGGGGAAGAGGGAGGGAAGGAAGGGGTGAAGGGTGAGAGGGGGGGGGGAGGGTGAGAGGGGGAGTGGAGGGGTTGAGTGGGACACAGGGGCGCAGTATGACAAATGAACATAGATGATCCAATTCGCAATGCTTCTGTGTCTTTGGCGATGTCCCTTTTTTCCTGCACGCCCCCATTATAAAAAGCCAGCTCAGTGACAACGCGCCAAGTTCTTCAAACATCTTGCAACTAAGCGTGATTGCCATATCCCCTTCCCCCTCCGTCCCTTTTCCGTATGATGCGGGCTCAAATCACATATCTGTCGATCTGTTATATTCACCAGCGTGCTCACCGCCGTGAGCCCACTTCGCGTACGCATCAGAATGGCAATATGACTGTTATTCTACGTACTACTGTCCCCGAGCAATGCCGTTGTGGACTGCCGCGCAATGAAACGATTTCTCAAGTCCAACCCTAGAGTCCTTGAGGGAGAGTGCAGTCAATGTTTGACGAGTGGTATGGATGATACAAAAAACAACATCCGACCAACAACCCTTGGATCACGGAACCTGATCGGACAAGAACGGGAAGCGCCGCTGTAGTCAAATGGGCGTATTGGGCGAAGAAGAAAAGGAAAGCGCGGACAACGAGGAGTCGATGACGAGGACGAAGTGACGAACGTGAGGATAGCGAGGAGGAGCATGAGGACAACGAGGAGGAAGAGAAACATAAGGACGAGGACGAAGAGAACGAGGGCGAGTACGAGGAGGAAGGCGGAGGGCGATGATGATGACGACGACGACGACAGAGGACAGTACGAGGCAATTGGAGAAAGACGTTGCTCCTGGCGCCGAGCGGGGTTCTCTTGGGGCCTGTTGGGGGTTCTTCGGGGCCCCTTGGGTCCTCTTATGGGCTTCTGGGGTCTGCTTGGGCTGTCTGGGCGCGTCGTGGGGTTCTGTGGGAGCTTTCTTAGGCCGTCTCGGCGCTGGGGGCCTCCTGGGACGCTCCCGGGAATCTCTTGGGGCCTTCTTGGCCCTTCTTGGGCCATCTTGGGGTTCTTGTAAGCTGTCTGGGTGGCTCCTAGAGCGCTCTTGAAGGTCTCTTGGGGTCTTCTTGGGGCGCTCTCATATTTATATCTCTATATACATAACGAATATATAAATATATATATATATATGTGTCTATATATATATATATATATAACGAACCATCGCGCGCGTGCTTCGCGCGCGCTCAAGTTCTAGCTAGGCTTGATAGGCTAATTAATGTAATATCATGTTGGTCGCTTCTTGCGTCCAGGGGCTCCCTTGGAGGCCCTGCTCAAGCCTCGGAACCATATAGAGGGGGAAGTGCGGAAACGCAGAAATCATTAATTTCCTTTAGGTATCCAACGATTTGGGGCCCGCAATGGCTTCCTGGGTTCTTTTTTGGGAGGTGAAGGGGGTCTGAACTGTGGTCGGTTGTGCAAGAGAAGACCGGGGGCCAAACTTGGAAAAAAAAGGAATTGTGGGATTTCCATGCTTTTCCAGTTCCTCGGCGCTGTTCGGCGCTGTCTTTTGTTTGTGCCTCGCGGGTTTTGTTAGCCGGGCCCCTCAGGGGTGTGGGATCTTCCGGACCCCCTGGAGCTTCTGGAGGCCTCCTGGAGGCCTGGAGAGCTGCTGGAAGGGTGTCTCGGGCTGCGCGGGAGCGTGTTGGGCCGTTCTTTACGTTCTGGGGGCTCCTTGAGGTCGTCATGGGCTGTCCTTCGGCGTTTTGGGGTCTTCCCCCCGGGAAGCCAAGAGGCGCGATACCGGCCAGATGTCAGGGGATGTGTGGGACCCTCGAGTAGAAGTCCCACTTTGAAAAAAATGGAATTCTGGGAATTTCGACTAAAAAAAAAACATCCTCAATCTTCGAGGGTTGGAAGCGGGAAAACGTGAGAAGGCGAAAAACGTGTGAACAGCCATGGGAAATCAACGAGTTTACCCTCTTTGGGCTCTCTCGGGACGGCTCTCGCAGCTCTCTTGGGCTGTTCTTGGAGCCTCGTCGGGTTCTCGTTGGGGCCTCTCAGGGATCGGGGGTGTGTTGGGGGCCTCTGGGGGGTCCCGGAGGCCTCTCGGAGGTCTATGGAAGCCTCCTGCTCCCGCTATTGGGCCCATCTTGGGCCTGTTCTGGGGTGGTCTGGGGCTATGCTGGGCGCCTCTTCGGCAGTCTTGAAGCCTTCTTGGCCCGTCTTGGCGCCGTCCTGAGGATCTCTTGGGTGGTCTTGGGAGGCTCTTCGGCGCTCTTGGACCACTGAAGCGCGAAAACGCGAGAAGCCCAAGACATTGAAAAAACCCATGAGCATCTACGTACGATTTGGGCCTCTTCGGGCCGTCCCGTGACACCTATCAGACCTCTCCTGGGCTCTCTTGGAGGGCACCTGTGAGCCAAGAGAGCCGTCGGAAGGCTGACTTGGGCTGCTCGGGAGCGTATTGGACCATTCTTTCGAATTCTGAGGGTTTTGGGGTGCGTCTTGGGCCCTCCTGGGACGCTGTGGAGGCTCCCCGGAAAGGCCGGGGGAGCGGTACCGGGAGCGTACCCGAGATGTGGCGGGGAAGGACCCGGGGCCAGGGGGGGCGGTATATATTTGCATTATACAGAACCGCGCGCGCGTTTCGCGCGCGCTTGGGTTCTAGCGCATGCCATGGCGTTGTGAGCTGCGCATGCTTTTCGGACAGGCTCATTCCATGCCTTGCCCTACCTCGTCCTCCAATATTCCTTATACGTCCTTCCTCATTAACCCTCCAGACTCTCTCGGTTGTCCTCGCTTTTCGTTTCTCGTCTTGCTTGGGGTTACGCGGAGGCTTCGAGCTGTTCAGGGCCGGCATGGGAAGATATTCAATATGAAGTGGGCTGGCTTGAAATGTACGGGTCTCTTGTGGATCTTCCTGTTGGGGCTGCCTTGAAGGCCTTGGGGCCCGCTTGGGTCCCTCTTGGGCTCTTCTTCGAAGTTGTGGGGCCGTCTCGAGCCTCAGCGCCATGTGAAGCTCTCCCGAAGCCATCCGACGGAGACGAGCGTGAGATTTACTGAAGATGGAAAAACCTGAATGGCTTTTGCGTTTGTGGCTCTCTGGGGTCATTTGGGAGGGCCTTTGGGAGTTCCACTGGGGCATCTTGTGGCCCCTGGGGGCCGCCTTGAGACATCTTGGAGCGTCTTGGACCACTAAGGGGCCATCTTGGCGGCCAGCGGGCGTCGCTTGCTCTGAGTAGAAAGTGCCTGGGATGCAGCGGTCAGCGCTGTACATGAGCTGCTACCTTGGGCTGCAGCTCGCTGGATTTTGCTGCGTGAAAGGCGCTGCTACCCTGGGCTGCAGCGCAATGCAATTAAATACCCCGGCATTACCTATCCCACACGGCACTTGAACGAGAGATGGGCATGCTTGGTTTGCGCATGAATTTCTGTCCTGAATCCTGAATGGATGACCATCGAACCCAAATCCAAAATTCCCAGATTCCTTGGGGCCTTCGAAAGCTCCGCGAAACCGTTAAGAAGCCGGGAGGCGCGGTAACCGCCAGATGTCAAGGGATGTGTGGGACCCCCGAGTAGGAGTTCCACTTTGATGAAAAAAATAATTCTGGGAATTCCTTTTTTTCCGAATTCCTCAATCTTTGAGGATTGGAAGCGGGAAAACGTGGGACATTGGAAAAAAGCATGGGGAATTAACGATTTTGCCCTCTTTGGGCTCTCTCGGGACGGCTCTCGCAGCTCTCTCGGGCTGTTCTTGGAGCCTCGTCGGGGTCTCGTTGGGGCCTCTCAGGGATCGGGGGGGTGTTGGGAGCCTCTGGGGGGTCCTGGAGGCCTCTCGGAGGTCTCTGGAAGCCTCCTGCTCCCGCTCTTGGGCCCATCTTGGGCCTGTTCTGGGGTGGTCTGGGGCTATGCTGGGCGCCTCTTCGGCAGTCTTGAAGCCTTCTTGGCCCGTCTCGGGGCCGTCCTGAGGGTCTCTTGGGTGGTCTTGTGGCGGTCTTGGGAGGCTCTTCGGCGCTCTTGGACACTGGAAGCTCGAAAACGCGAGAAGTCCAAAACATTGAAAAACAAACCATGAGCATCTACGATTTGGGCCTCTTCGGGCCGTCCCGTGACACCTATCAGACCTCTCTTGGGGTCTCTTGCAAGCCACCTGGGAGCCTCGAGAGCCGTCGGAAGGCTGACTTGGGCTGCTTGGGAGCGTCTTGGGCCATCCTTTCGCATTCTGGGGGCTCCTGGGGGGCGTCTTGGGCCTTCCTGGAGCGCTGTGGAGGCTCCCCGGAAAAGGCTGGGGGAGCGGTACCGGGAGCGTCCCCGAGATGTGGCGGGGAGGTGTGGGACCGGGGGGCGGTATTTATTCACTCATATCTATATATATATAGATGTTTGTGTACACGTGCATGCATGCATGCATGCATGCATGCATGCATACATACATATATACATACATACATACATACATGCATGCATGCATGCATACATACATACATACTCACATACAGACAGGCAGGCAGGCAGGCAGACAGACAGACATACATTCATATATAAGAACCACGCGCGCTTCGCGTGCGCTTAGGTTCTACCGTGTCACAGACACAGGAAAAGCTGTGCGAAAAAATGTTTGGAGTTTCTCAGGCAAGTGCGGTCTCCAGTGGCAACACCTGCTTGAGGCACCGCCGGGGACGGACCTTGTGTTGTGTGTGGGAAGTCGGACCAGCTCTCTGGTCGACCCTCTTGGGCGCGCCCTGGAGCTCTCTTGGGCCGTTTTGAGGGGCCCATTGCGGGGCTGTTTCGGGGCCTCTTTGAATGTTTTTGCGGATCTCTTGGGGGCATGTTGGGGCTTCTTGGGCGCTTCTTGGAGCCTCTTTGGGTCTCCTGGGGGCCTCTTGGGCCAAAACGCTCGAATCTTGGGTTCCTCGTCCCCGTCTTGGGCGCCGGCTCGGGGCGTTCTTGGGCGGTTTGGGCGCCTCGGGGGCCAGCTTGGCCCCCTCGTGGGTCGTCTTGGAGCCCTCTTGGGGGCATCCTCGACTGGCTTGGGTGCCTCTTGGGCCAAGGCGCGAATTTCCGGTTCCTCGTCCCCGTCTTGGGCGCCGCCTTGGGGTGTTCTTGGGCGGTTTGGGCGCCTCGTGGGCCGTCTTGGCCCCCTCGTGGGTCGTCTTGGGGCCTCCTTGGGGGCATCCTCGACCGGCTTGGGTGCCTCTTGGGCCGTCGTGGACGCAGTGAAGCCCAAAAGGCGAACACGCCAAAAATATAAGTTCTCCCACAGGAAATCGACGATGTTTGCTTACTGGGGCTCTCTCGGGGTGCCTCTTGGGGCGTCTTCGGGGACTACGGGGGCCTTCTTGGCGTCATGGGAGTCGTCTTGAAAGGCGTCTGGAGCCATCGCTGCGGCCTCCTGGGGCCTCCCTGCAACCTCTTGGGGCCCTGTTGGCCCCAGGTCACAAGGAAAATTACGCCCTGGCCTCGTATTTGTGGTCGTGGCGCCAGCCCCCGGCCTCCGGGCCCTCGGAAACGAGCCCACGACGCGAAATCAATATCGAAGATGGGGCCGAGTGCTCCCAGAGACCTCCGGGGTCGAGTGCCCCTTCCTTTCCCTCCTCTTATCCCTCCTCCTTCTGTCCCTCCTCTCCTTCTGCATGTCCTCCTCGTCTCCCGCATATTCCGGCTCGCACCTCGAACGGGTCGTGCCGAACAGGGACTTCAACCGACGGCCCCCGGCAATGTTCGCATCCGATCCACCCGAGTCGGCACACCCCTGACACGGGTCTTGGCCCACAAGAAGATCCACCTACGGCTCCAGAGAGAAGGTTCGCATGGCATCTTGGATGCCTCTCTCGCCGGCGCATTAGAACCAAGTTATGAGCCTCTTGAGGGCCTCTTGGAGGCCTCCTGGGTCTCGTCTTGGGGTGCTTTTGGGGGCCTCTTGGGGCCTCTGGGGGGTCTATCGGTGCCTCCTGGGGGCTCTTGGGACCGAAAGCTCGGAAATCGAAAGTGGCTGTCTTCTTCTGGGACACCTCTCGGGCGCTTCTTGGGCTTCTCTTGGGCCGTCTTGGGGGCCGATTGGGCCGTCCTGCGTTCCTCGTAGGCCGTCTTGGAGGTTTCTTGGGGGCCTCTTAGTCCGTTTTGGGGGGCCTCTTGGGCCGTCTTGGACGCGGTGACAGCCCAAGAGGCGAGCATGCGAAAAATATACGTTTCCCCATAGGAATGGAAGGATTTTAGTTTCTTGAGGCTCTCTTGGGGTGCCTCTTGGAGCATCTTGGGGTGCTTTGGGGAGCCTGCTTGGGGCCTCTTGGGGGCGCATCGGCGCCTCCTGGGATCTCTTGGGGCCGAAAGCTCGGAATTCGAGAGTGGCTTTCTTGCTTTGGGACTCCTCTCGGGCGCGTCTTGGGGCTCTCTTGGGCCGTCTTGGGGACCCATTGGGCCGTCCTGGGCTTCTCGTGGCCCGTCTTGGAGCTCTTTTGGGGGGGGGGTCTCCTAGGCCGTCTTGGGAACTCCCTGGGGCAGTCTTGGACTCGATGACAGCCCAACAGGCGAACATACGAAAAATATACGCTTTCCCACAGGAATGGGACGATTCTTGCTTCTTGGAGCTCTCTTGTGTTGCCTCTTGGAGCGTCTTGGGGTGCTTTTGGGAGCCTTCCGGACGCTTCTTGGAGGCTTCTCGGCGCCTCCTGGAGCCACTTGGGGTCGAAAGCTTGGAATTCGATTGTGGCTTTCCTCCTCTGGGGCCCTCTCGGGCCCGTCTTGGGGACTCTCTTGGGCCGTCTTGGGCCCTTCGTGGGCCGTCCTGGAGCTTTCTGGGGCTGTATTGGGGCCCTCTGGGGCGCGTCCTGGGCCGTATTGGGGCGGTCTTGGGAGCTTCTGAGGTCGTCAAGCACGGACCGACAGCGAAAACAGCAATATGTTAAAAATATACGTTTTACGAAGGGAATGTGGCTATTTGGGCCGCTTGGGGCTCTCTTTGGGGCCCTATTGGCGGTCGCTTGGGGTGTCTTGGGGGCTTCTGAAGTCGCCTTGGAGGCCATGTTGGGCGTCTGGGAGCGAACTTCGGGCGTCCCGGGTCTGTTCTGGAGCCTCTTGGGGCCTCCTTGGCGCCTTCTGGCGGCCTTCTGTGAGGCCTCGGGGCTCCCTGAGGGCCCCGGAGCCCACATTTGTGGTAGCGGCGCCGGCCCCCGGCGCCCGGACCCGGTGCGCCGTTATATGTATATTTGTTCATGGGGCTCCAAATTTGCTGTTCGAGTAATACCAGATCCTGAGCGTATAACCACGCGGCCCTGTCCAGGCCTCATGCTGACGAACGCTGTCGCACACGGGGTTGCACTTATAGCTCCTGGCTGCACTCAGCTCAGCTCCTTCTTCTGCCACTTGAAGCTGGCTGCCTGGACGGACGACTCGCCCGTGTAGCCGAACTTCTCGTGTCTGCTTGCAGCCCCGGGAAGAACTTGGTCCGCACCCTTCTGGAACGTCACAGCCCGGGGAGATCTCCGCCCGCGTGCTTCTGGGGCGCCACGGAGCGCGCCCGTGAGCTCCTCGTGCGCCTCCGCGCGCTCGACGCTGCCGTCCGACAGGCCGCACCCGCCGGTGCCCCACGGCCGCGAAGGCAGCGCCGCCCGCCCCGCGAGGCACGGCGGCCCCCGCCCGAGGGGCGCGGCCCTGCTCCTGCCCGGCGCGGGCCCTCCGACAGGGCACGGCGGCCACCTTTTTTACAGGCGGAGCGCCTCGTTGTACACGTCCAGGTCATCAGAGGGCCTGCCAACAAGATCGGCGCGCACAAAATCGCAATTCAGACCTCTCGTCACGTAGTTGAAGATCCTGCAAGAGTTCAATACAAAACCAAGCTTTGTCAGAACCGGCAGGGCGTTCTCGAAATATGGAGCGGAGCGAGGGTGTTTCTGATTCCCGTACACAGTTGAACGGATGTCGGAGATCTCTATGATTATCTGGCGCACGCGATGAATTTCGGACCCAGCCGACCGAATCACGTCCAACTCATGGCCCTGGGCGTCGACTTTCAGCATCCATACCTCCGTATCGCCTGGGAGAGCACTCAAGACGAGACTCAGAGGAATCATGGGCACTTCTACTTGCCCTGATGGGGTGTAGCACGATAAAGCAATGGGATTGAACGCTTTTGCCATCCACGGTTCGACTTTGAAAGGGTACAGTGAAGAACATAAAGAATTTGCACCTCTGTGCAGAGTTACATTGGTCGGTTTTCCTGCAACAACCTGGCCCGCAGCAGCTTGCAACAAGGCAAGGTGAGGATGTCCGGGATGCTGCGACACTGTGTCTGGATCAGGCTCTAGTGCAATGACCCACCTGTCGTCGCTGCTGTCAGCATCCAACCATTCCATCGCGAAAGAGCGCTTGTTGCAGCCAACGTCAACCACGATTTTCGCATGCCTCGACCGCGGGAGTGAGTTAGAGCTGAGTGATGCCCACAAGGTATCGCAAGCACCCGACACGCACACTATGCCCTGACGCTCGCTCATCCCTAAGGGACCAAAGCTCACACTGTTGCTGGACTTGTGCTGCACCTTCTGCACCATGCCGTCGAACGGATCCGCGAAGTAAAGCAGAGGCTGCACAAGAGTGGCAGGCCTGAGGAACAGCGGCAAGGTCTTCTCCGCGACATCGAACGCCACTCTCGCAACCGTGCGGCGGGGCGCGCCCCGGAACCTGCTCGGCAGGCAGAGGAACAGGCTGCGGACGGGCTCGTGCAGCACCCACCTGCCCACATCGCCACCAAGGGGCCACACCGCCTCGACAGAATCAATCTGGTGACCGCCCATCATGACGTCCAACATTTCTGCGGCGTCGCCCGGAACGGCACGCCCGAGCCCACGACTCCCGAGAGGACGGCCGAGCTGCACCCGGACCTCGGGAATCCGAATCACGGCATAGTACATCTTGTGCCCTCCAGCGCGCACGTGCCTGGCCGGGCTCTCCTCGCAGGGGAGTCGAGCCCCGTCGACAGGCTGTACAGGATCTGCAGGTCCACTGTCGACATGGGCAGCGTGCTGTTCGGCCCGCAGCAGCGATCGTATGTGAAGGACTCGTTGAAGCAGGGCGCGGCGAAGTCCTGACAGCAAAGCTCGCCGTACCCCACGGGGAAGCCGTCCCAGCAGCCACCGTCGGCGAGGCCGACAGCAAGGCTGCTCAAGGCGAGCAGCAGCGCTGCGATAGAGAAACCGTGACGCATTAGCTCCAAGCCGCACGCGCGCTGGCAGTGCCGAAGAGGCTGTGTTTGAGCTAGAGCTTGAGCCAGAATGGCTACGGGGTCTTCTTGGGGCGCTCTTGGGCGTTTCTGGGGCTCTCCGGGGCGTCTTTTGGGCCTCCCTTGGGCCGTCGGAAAACACTCCAAAAACGATTCGAACACGACGTCGATGCGGGGTCCCCTCTTGGGCCGATGTTTGGAGGATGTCTCGAGAGAAACGGCCATGTTTCAAAAATCCGCCAGCGCAGTTTCAAAGTGCGGCGCGTACCCGATTATTAATTTTTACCACCAACAAACGGTCCACGCCAGGGGCGCTTCCCGTCATCCGCCGACCCCTTGCGGGTGTTTGGGCGTATGGAATTGTTTCCCCACCCATAATCCCCCCAGGGACCCCAAACCGCGAGTTTGACCCCCCCCGGGCCCGGGACGACCACCGGTTGAACGAGCCACGGGGGAACGGAGGGCCTCACAACGGGCCACGAGGGCCTCAAGGGGCCCCCAAGACGGTCCAAGAGGGCCCCCGATCGCCGAAAGATCGAACCCAAACGCCCAAGATGGCATCCAGACGGGCCAAGATGCCGCCCACTCCCCGAGGCCCCCAAGAGACCCCTCAAGAAGGCCCCAAGAAGCAACAATGTCCCCATTCCTTTGGAGGAAACATGTGAATTTAGCACATTCGCCTCTTGGGTTTTTACAACAACCACGATGGCCCAAAAGGCCTCCGAAATCGCCCCAAAACAGCCTTGGCGGCCCCCAGCAGGATTCCAAGAGGGCCCCAAGACGGCCCCCCAAAAAAACAAAACGGCCCAGGAAGGCCCCAGGACGGCCCTAAGAGGGGGCCCAGAGGGGGAACCCGAACGGACACTTCGAGCCTTCGGCCCCCCAACGCCCCCAGGTGCCCCCAAAAAACCCCAGGGAACTCCAGAGGGCTCCAAACCCCCCCTCGAGAGACCCCCATGCGGCCCCCAAACAATTCCCAAACTGCCTCCAGCTCGCCCCCGAGAGGCCTCCCAGGAGGCCCATCAACCATCCGATTGGCCTCAGCCCCACAACCCAGGCACGGTGGCGGGATGCCTCTAAGCCCCCCAAAAAAACCGCCGACGAGGCCCCATCAATTTTCCCACTGGCCTCAGACCCACAAGCCAGGCACGGTGGTGGGATGGACCGAAGGCCATTCGATGATCATGCGTTCGCGGCGAACACAACTATCCCTCTGGCCTCAAACCCACAAGCTAGGCACGGTGGCGGGATGGACCGACGGCCATTCGATAATCATGCGTCCACGGCGAGCATTGCGAATGTCAGCCGCGGCAAATACAGCGATCCTAAAAAATTGCCGTCTGGATTCTGACACTGGCCCACCCCCTTCGTCGCTCGAATGCGGTCCGAGGGGGGGGAGCAAAAAAAGGCAACATCCCCGAGACTCCGACGCACAACCAGGCCTGAATGGATCGAAGACCATGAAAGACTTCACGGCCAGGAAACCCGCAAAGAAGTTTCCAAATCCATGTTGCACACATGCGTTCTGGGGGTGCTGGCATGGCCCCAACGGCGCCAGGAGGCCCCAGTTAGGGCCCCAAGCCTGGATCCTCGCTCGTCGTCCCCCCCTGTTTTGCTCATCCTCCTCCGACTCATCCCCTGCCTCCCTCTACCCCTCATACCCTCATCCTCGTCTTCCTTCTCCTCCTCCTTCTGCGCTTCCTTCTTGTCAGCTTCTTCCTCCTCCTCATCCGCTTCGCTCCCCCTCTCGCTCTCCCGTTCTGGCCCTACTTCGACGAACCGCAGAACGGGGTCTCGAATGCGCATCATTTGCACGTATTGCACTTCAGGGTGCCCTTCTTTTCGTCGCGCGTGGCATTGTCAGGCCTCACGGAGAACGCGGACTTCGATAGTTGTCTCTTGTACGTGCCGCTGCACTGATACGCCTGCCAACTGCCGTGGAACCAAGGTCTTTGCAATATTTGCACACGAATTTCGCTCCCCTTGTGGGGTGTTCCGTCTCCTGCGCGCCACTGATGTGCCCCTGCCGCGGGAATTCCTTCTCGAAGTAGCCCCATCACTCCTATCCGCATCTGCAGAGGCTACAGGAATTATCAAGTTTCGTGCCTCTCGAACACGACCCCGAAACCGCGATTAGTCCAAAACACACTAGTCATGAAACCACATACTACCGCCGTGAAGGCGTCAACCACAGCCGGCGATAAAGGCTATAAAAGAACAAGGAGTCGGCGGATGTGGCGTAAGCCTATATAATCAGAGTGCAAAACAAAATTCCACAAATAATAGGCACGTGTTCTCAAACATGAACCAAATATGATTCCCGATACCAGGCGATTGATCTCGACTTGTCATATGACGAGACACTGCCTTGCACCGATATGTCGTGCAGAACTCTGGACAGAGTGGCACGCGCGGTTCAGACGCGCCCTTTCCACTTCCTCCTGCTCCTCTTCCTTTTTCCTACTCTTCTCGCTCTTTCTTTCTTCCCCCCCGACCTTTCACTTCGAAGGCATCCGTCGCTCCGGTCTGCTTTTGAAACAAGCTATTGGCTTCTCGACGACCGGCCCTGCAACTTCTAAGTATTTCGTTTCGGACGCGACGATCCTGACTTCAGTTTGGGCGCGACGATCCTGAAACCCAGCAGGGGCCGAAGATGTCGAAAAAGTTTTAATATTTTCTGGAAGCTGGATGCCCGAACCGCGCTTGTCTTTTTCCCTGGGTGCCCATGCACATCCGAGCGGCGCACGACAAAAGTAAAGCCCTCCGTTTGTGGTCCTGGTCGTCATCTCAACAGCTGTTCCCTCGGGAAGAGGTCGACTTCGACGAGGCCAACGAAGGTCCGAACCACAGACCTACCGTCCAATGCGTGCATCTAGCATCGAGTGGGGGCCTTCTGAGACGAGCGCTGGCCTTGGCGCAGGGCGAGATTCAGGGCGCCCGGGGGTGGCAGCAGTGAAACGAGCGCCCGCAGCGAGAAGGGAGCGCAACGAACCAGGAGAACAATCTACGGGCCAAAGACAGACAATACCTGCATCTCAAACAAAAACTAAGTCAAATCGAGGAAGGTCGAGATCTTGCAGGAATCAATTTTGAAACAGTTGCTCGTGCAAATTTGAATGGCAAAGCAATCCATATCACGGAATTCCGCAGAGCGGTCGGGGAGGATGGTTTCCCCGAGTAACAACATGCTGCCGAACACAACAGGCATGTGCAAAACAACGATCAAGTACACCAACACTTTTCCTCGGCCAGGCGTTCTTCAGCGCGAGCTGTTTTTAAACGGTCCCGGGGCCTGGAAAAAGCCCCCAGAAGGCCGAAAGAAACAAGAACACATGCCAAGAACAACGAACCCGAAAATCGGATCCTTCTCCGTAGTTCTTGAAACCAATGATCGCATGTTTGCAACCAGTGTTCGTAGTTAGTTATGAAAATCAATGTTCGTAGTTTTTGAATTCAGTGTTCGTAATTATTGAGACCAGAGCTCATGGATTGAATCCATGGCCAGTGTGTTCGTCACGGTCCCGAGGCCCGGCGAGGGCCCCTGGTGGACGAGTACAAAGAACAGCTTCCCAGTTGCTGTCAGGGCTGTCGGATGTCAGGGCTCCCAGACAACCACCTACATGTTGTTCACTCAACGGCCCCCAAAGTCCCGACCACATCCGATGTCGGCATGCTGCCCAGCAGCCGCTCCTGCTCTTCTCATCCTCCTTCGCCCCCCTGCGCCCCGAGAGGGCAACGAAGAAAGCATCGCTTGGCGAGCGAATCGTCCACGCCCCGCAGCAGCTCGGCGACGCCGCCCGGGGCGTAGGACGCCGCGAGCGCGTCACCGCCGCCCGAGGGCTCCTCGGCCGGCCCCCCCGCTCCGGAACGTGGAGGTCTCCTGGACAGGGTCTTGAGCAAAGTGGGGTCGAAGGACCGCTCCGCACCGGCGATGCATCGGCGCCGCATCGGCGATGCATCGGCGACGCAGCGGCGACGCAGCGGCGCCACCGGCGCGGAGAAAAACGAGCTCCTGCATCGCCGATGCCCGGGCGACGCGCCGCGATCCCCCGACCCCACCCTCTCGGACCCCATCTGGGAGGCCTAGAGGAAGTTGGGAGGCAACTCCTGGGAGGTCCTCGTAGGAATCGCACGGGCGATCAAGCCTGCTCGATCAGGCTGGGCTATGCCCAGGGGCCCAGGATTCAAGCGGATTGGCGGGCGTAAGCCGGCGGCGGCGAGCCCGGGGGAAGTGAGACGGGGCGGGCCTTCTCAGAAGGCTCGGACGTCCCCCGGCCTTCTGAGAAGCTGTTTAACACTTCCCCGAAGACACAGAAAAATTGCTGAAAGGCGCAAGGGCTTCTGAAATGTCCCGCCGCCTTCTGGTAAGGCCTTCTCCTTCTCGCTTCCCCCCCTCGCTCGCCGCCGATGCTAGGCGGCAACATCCTAACCCTACCCATACAAACCATCGCATTGCCTAAATCATTCATCGGCGACGGTAGGGTTCGGAGTTTGCCGCCGAACTACAATCAACCCGTATAGTTTGGATGCGCGGTAAGGATGCCAGTGCCTTAGAAGACCATGTCGACCCTTTTCGAGCGGGGCGCGGCCAGCGAAAGCGGCCAAGGATGGGCCGAAGGGGAAGGAAGCAAGGGTGGCCTCGGAAAGTCGGTCACCCTTAATTGCTATGCGGGTTGACTGCACGCCAGATTGAGCCCGTTCTCGACCACGGAGACAACAGCGCCGATGCTGAATTCGACCTAACGCACACGTATCCCTCCAAGCCTCTGCCGCGGGCACCCGCAGCGCTGCCTGTGGCTTCCTGGGCCAAGCTGCACTCCGGGGGCGCGCATCCGCGGGGGAAGGCAGGAGGGGCCCAGGCCTCCAACGCATTGAAGAAATCGGGGCGAGGCGGGCGTCGCTAAATAAGGGGTGTGTGATAAGGGCGGGGGTGGGGGAAGGATGAGAAAAATGCACTTCTCGGGACCCCAAGGTCCCATTGTGGGCTCTGTGGGGCCCCCCTGAGGGGTCCGGAAGGGCCTTTTTTTTCTGCAGCTCTCGCTGCTCCCCCATTTATCGCCCCCACCCCATGGCGCGACGCCCACACGGGATGCTGCTCGTCGTTTCCGGCCTCCAGAGGCCCTCGCCAGGCCTCGGGACCGCCCAACGACACGACCCGTGATCCAGAAAAGCTGCCCGCTGGAAAGGGTGAGGGAACGAAAACCTACATAAACAGAAAGACTCGGAAGTCCGCGAGGATTTCTCGGATCCGCGCTGGACCCCCCCCCCCTGGCGCGCAGAGCGCTCCAGGCGCGGCGCCGGAGGCGCCGCCAGGGGGTCCCAGCGCGGTCCGAGACTAATTTTTACAGTCCCCCAAACTAATTTTTACATTTTTGAACATTCCTCCTGTAGAGGGACAAGCCCGACTTAATTCTAGGTTCACTCTGGGGAGGCTTCCAAATGTTCCCCCTTCGGTACTGGTTGGCTGTCTGATCGGCGAAGCCCGAGGGGTCGCCGAGCGGCGCAGCTGCCGAGCGGCGCAGCTGCCGAACTGCTGGAGCGCTCCCGGTGCCAACGTGTACGCAGAAGGACACAAACAAGACCACCCAGGGACGCACCCAATTCACCGAAGACGCTTGGGTGCGCCCACCTGCAGAGACGGTGTACCATGTCAGGAGGGGCGCTCGGCAGAACCCTCAGAGACCTCTGGATCTGGAGATTGCTGCCAGGCCTACGCTTGACAACGCTCAAGAAGAGGCGCGTTCTCGCTTGGATCTGCATGCGTCCGACGGCTGTCTGGCAGCACTCACAGAGGCGACGCTCCGTTGTTCTGGATCTGCGCGCTCCTCCCCCAAAGTCGAGGCCTCCTAGATGGGGTCAGAGTAGATAAGGTCGGAAGATCGCGCGGCATCGCCGATGCATCGGCGATGCACCGGCGATGCATCGGGGATGCACCGGCGATGCATCGCCGACGTCGGCGGTGCATCGGCGACGTCGACGCGAAGCAAGTCGGGCTCCACGCCGAGCGAGCCGCATCGGCGATGCGGTACGACTCTCCGACCCCCTCTGCTCCGACCCCATCTAGGAGGCCCAGACAGAGCCTCTCCGCCTTGCTCTTCTTCTCTCCGGTGCCGCGGAGGAGGAGGAGGAGGAGGAGGAGGAGGAGGAGGAGGAGGAGGACCCTCCTCGAGTCACCTGGACGAGCCAGGGTCGCCGCTTCGAGGCGGCCCGCCGTGGTCCAGCTCGGTGCCGACGGCCCGCCGCCTGGGCGCCCTGGGCGCGGCCCTCGGCCCCTGGTGGGCACAGGGGCCCCTCCGCCTCCTCCGCCTCCTCCTCCTCCTCCTCCTCCTCCTC